CCCCGCTGCCACCAGATATCTTGCAAATGGGAATAGCTAGATAGACCTGAAGGCCCTCGCCTGGGCCGCTCAGCCTCCAGCCCCTTCTCTATTCCGTTCCCCTGCTGTGGTTAAACTGTGGTTTGGGCAGGGAGGCTCCAAACCTGCCACGGGGGTGTTCTCCAGGACCTGTCCCCAGGCCCCCCCAGACCCACCTCCTCCGGCCTCCATCCTGGTACGCTTGACCTGCCCCTGCCCTCCCTGCGCCACACGGAGCCGAACGAGAGCCATACCTCCCTGCAAACTGGACCTGACACTGGTGCCAACTGGACCGAGCCCGGGGCTTTCTCCGTCCTTGCTGCTGGCCAGGCGCCCGGCTGATCCCGGTGCCATGCCGGGCACCCTGAGCCCCCCCACCTCCTCTGGGGCGGGGGCCGAGTCCCGCTTACCGTGCACTTTGCTTTGCCGCACATCGTCGGTGCGCTCGCGTCTGTGTTACGGGGGCGAGGGGTCATTAAATGGGACAGTTTCCTTTTCTACAGCTTCACCGGGTGTGGGCTCTCCCTGTGCTGCCGCGGGTGCCGTGCGGCTTGAGGCAGGGGGTGTCCTCCACCGGACCCCCAAGCCCACACCAATGGGGGCCTCCCCTGGGACACTGCCATCCCTTGGGCATGCCAGATGGGACGGGCAGATGGGACAGTGGCAAGATCCCTGTTCTGGGGGCCACTGGCCCTCGACGGGCCATGTGTAGCACTGGTGCTGCGTGGGCTGCCTTGTTCTTAACCTGGAGCATCATCGATGCTGAGGCTGAGGGATTGGAAATGAAGCCAAACGTGGCTCGTGACTTGTGGATCTTCCTCTCCCAGTGCCTGTTCTCCTCTGCCACACCAGGGCACCCCAGAGCATCTTCTCACCTTGTCCTCAGTCCTACGTGCAACCTTGGCGTAACCACAGTGGGGGTTCCCGTGTCCCACTATCTCTTGTAGCATTTGCCTGGCTGGCTGTTGCCTCCTCCGCGAGTGGTGGGAGGCTGGGGCCCGGCGGGGTGGCAGGAGGGGTGAGCAGCCTGCTGAGAGGCAGTGTTTTGCAGGGCTATCTGCTGAGCATTGGACCCAGACTGCACAGCCAAGGCAGGTGAAGCTCCACAGAAAAACGCTTCTCACAAAAGGTCCTGAAGGGAAGAGAAAGTAGAAGGCAGTAGAGTTTTTGGATCATCTCTAAGATTAGGTAAGGTAGATAAAATGGGGGCTGAGGGATGCAACAGTTTATCTCCGCAGGTTTTGCTTGGGTAGCTAATGCTGCCGTGCGCTTGAGCTGCGAGCACCGGCGCATCCTCTGCACCGCAGTGCAGAGGGTCGGTGTCTGGGCAGGGGGGACCTGCCTCTGCCTGTGCCTGCAAGACGTGATAAGGCATGTGTTGGTGTTTCAGCGTGGGCTAAGCTGGCTGGTTAGAGCCGGCGGGGAGGCGAGGCCCTGCAAATGGCATGAGAAGTTAGCAGCCGAGGAAACCTCCAGGCCAGGACGCGGCTGGGGCACTGCTGCTGGTGCCGGGAGATGGCAGTTCCTCAGCCGATGGTCTGCTCTGGCTGGGTTCTGACTTGCGAGTGCCGTCTTTGCCTCCCACGAGGAAGGTGGGAGAGCGTTTCCCGGGAGCAGCAGGGTGCTGGATAGCAGCGGAGGTGCGCTCCCCCCGCCCTGGCTGCTTGTTGCTCGGGGGGTTTTTTTTGGTGGGAGGTGTGTGCCTCAGTGCCTGCCCTGAGACAGGCCTTCGCCATGGGCCTCGCCTCCACGCCGCCTTGCCCGACTGTTTCCATTTCTTTCCCTCTTCCCTTTTTATTTTTCTTCCTAAAAGAGCTAAAGCCAGAGGAAAGATTTTAATCTGGGCTTTTTCTTTTGAGTGATGGTGCCTCACATGCAGTAGATCAGGGATCACTTTCTATCCTGCCTGGAGTCTCTTCTGGTTCATGCAAATCCCCTTTTCCGTACGTGTCTTTGCAGCGTTCTCTGCTCTTTCTCTGCTGAGGAGATCTCTGTGAGTGGCTGGCTAAGTCTGGCTTCCCCTATGCATAATCCATGACACGCGTACCTTATCCTCTCGGTACTGCTTAAGAAACCCACAGGACTGTAGAGCATGTACCCTAAGAGATTTCAAGCATGAAGCACAGAAGGACTGACATTTCTGCCTTGAGCAATCGTTGCCCAGAGGAGCAGCTGGTGCTGCCAGGTGCCCGTGTACCAGGACACGTGGGGACCCCAGTCCCACATTGCTTGTCAGAACTTCATTTGCAGTGAAACTGAGATCTCCTCCACCCATGTGTGCAAGATGCTGTTCTCTGGTGAATTCTATCACCAGCAATAGGCTCCGTTCCCCCACTAGTGTGCCAGCCCCTGAGATCTCACTGGCAGGACATGCAACACTGATCCTTTGCCTCAGCAATTTCTCAGCATGGGAAGCACAGCCCAAGGCCTCCAGTGTTAGCCAGACCATCTCCCCTGCATCTACCTGTCTATCAGTGGTGACCCCCACATCTTTGATGCTGGGTATGAGGAGGTATGGACCTTCCATCTATTTAACTCCTCTCTGTGGGCTCCTTTCTATTCTTTGGGGAGTATCTAGCCTGCTTTTCTCCACCATGAGCGCTGCTGGGAACTGTGGTGTCTAGAAACTGCTCAGCGCTGTGTTGCTTCTTGCCTCCCTAACCTCATCCCTTTTCCAGGACGCCACTCGGCAGCGCCTGCTCAGGAAGCAATATCAGAAGAAATTGTCTAGCAAAGACCCAGGTCTTGGCTGCTTGATCTTTCTGAACACCTGCTGGTCTGTATTCATCTCACAGGGAGTAATTGTATCTCGTTTACTCTTAGACCCCAGCCCATTCAAAAATCTTTGTTTGGCCTCAACTTTCTGAAAGACTTGGTTCCGGGGGCAGCCTGGCCATGGATGGAGTGGGCCTTTTCCTATTCTTGACCAAGGGGATGAATTGATGAAATGAACTTTGGAGGAGCAGGTCAGTTACTCTTTCCAGTTGACAGTGTTCATCTGTGAGCATGTTGCAGCTGAGTCTACTATGGTCCTTAGTGCACCAGAGCAGACTTTGGCATGCAGGGAACAAAGTCCTGTCTCACTCGGTATCCATGCATTAATGTGAGTGTTTATTGCCAAGTACAGACATGCACGGATATGTCTTACTGAATGGGGTTCTATGGCAGGATGTATCCGGGCAGTCCCTCTATCAGCATCCATCTCGGGACTGTGGCTGCTGTCTGGTGACCTCCATTAACATTTCTCCAAGACCATCCTTTTGGGATCATGTCTCTCTGGATTGGCAGTGAGGTCCTCCCATTGAATATTTAGGCAGGCTGGTTCGGCTTCCCCATCCTACAGAAGTCCACGTTGGCAGAAACTTACTCAGGCAGTCTAGAAATGTGCTAGTGATTGCTCTGGCTTCTCCTTCCCCAACATTTGGACTGTTGTGTCTAGGTGAGGACAGGCACAACTTTTATATCAGCAGTGGGAGTGGCACAAAAACCCTCCCTTGAGGCAAAAGCTGTCCCTGGGCTGGGACAGACCCACTTGTGAGGTGTTGAGGGACATGATCAGCCTTTGAGCTGGGGTGAGAGACACAGTTCTCTGCCGTGGCCACTGTGCTCCATGCTCCCTGTGCTGAGATCAGCCTCTTGGCAATGGACTTCAACAGAGGGTGCCAGGCATTTTGCAGAAGTGAGCTCTGAATGTATTTCTGATCCTGTGGCATGCAGAGTGGCCTCCCCTGCCCCTTCCCTAGTGAAGTTCCGTAGGACTCATCTGAAAGGTGAGCTCTCATCCTCAGAGACCCTGTCTGGCAAGGTAGCTCTGAGACCAGGCCCACTGAGTTTCTTGATGAAGACTACCAGATATTCCCACAGAAAGGACGGGGAGCATCACGCTCCTTGCATGTCACCACATGGATGTGGGATGTTCTTACTGGCTCTAAGAGGGTTCAGTCAACCTAACCACTAAGTAGCCCAGCTCATCTTCCCAGTCCTAAGCAAGCCCACTCCCTCCCTTCATTCATTCCTGCATCCCATTTATTTTAGATCGTATCTCGGAACTGAAAGAGTCTGACTTGTCTGTCTGTTCAGTTAAGGTCCTGTATTTTCCACCCAGCACCCTTCTGCTGAAGGCGCTTTGTCACCTATCCCACATGACTCAGCTTTGTGTGAGTTAGCTTTTCCCAGTTTCAGGATTCCTTAGATGGACCTAAATGTGATGCTGACAGTCTTCACTGGAGCAACTTTTGATTCCCTTGTAACCTGTTTATTATTCTGTTTATCTTGTTTCTTAGCCAAGAGGCAGGAGAGATCAAAGCTGCATAGAAAGTTGTTCTTGCTTCTAGATTTGAGCTGGGAGATTGGCTTTCCTAAGCCTCGTACCTCTGCTGCAAAAGCTTCATTTGTTCTCAAGAGGGCCATACTCTTTATATGTTTATGGTTGTTGCTATCTCAGGTACCTGTGGCACAGAGTGTCCCAGAACTTGCATGTGATGATCAAGTACGTCAAATACTCTGGTTACGGAGGTAAGAAACCTCCTTTCAAGAGAAGAGGTCAGAATTAATGCAGAACACAGTAGAGCGCTGTCTCCTTGGAGATGCACCTGGACGATGCATGGACAGGCTCCTGAAGACATCTGGAAAGCCCCTTCGCATGGTGATTAATGCTGGGAGTGA